AGCCTGCAAATGCTGAAAAGCAGCAGTTTTTAAAAACAAAGAAAATCAATTTTTTTTTCCTTTGGTGGTCAATGGAGTTATCACAGTGTAAATTAGATGAAAACTACCTCCAACCATAAAATATCAACAACAAAGGTGGGAATCCTACCTAGTGTATAACATTCATTAATAAAAAATCAAATGCAAAACAAAAAATAAAGATGCCATTGTTTTAAATTGCAATTCAAACTAAAAAGTCTGGGATTTCAAAGTTCCAGTAACATCATCAAATCAGCTAAAAGTGCACATTCAGTAGAGTGACCTTGGGCTCATGAAAGCTTATGCATCTCTACCCTGCCTTCTATATGATAGAGGCCTAAACTGTGGCTATTACTGTATGATACAATGGAGAAAAGAAAAGGAAGGAGGACGAACCCTCCATATGCAGAGCTCCCTGATCAAAATGCGGGGAGCTCAGCCATTGGCACTGTACAACACAGAGTGAATGAGTGAATTGAATCTATAACCAAGATCCCTTCTTCTTCCCCCCTTGTGCCATTTTTTTTTTTTTATCTGAAGGCCAGTGCTCAGTCAGGGACTACGCTATTTTAAATATGGACTCAATTCCACGTTTGAGCACCCCACCTAGCAGTCCAGGAACTACTCTGATTGTCTTTGCAGAATGCTTTCTACCTATGCCTTTTGGTTGTTACACTTTTGTGTATACAGGAGACCCTCACCATTCGCAGAGGATCTGTTCCAGAGATCCCCGCAAATGGCGAAATCCGCAAGTACATCAGGAGCCTGGCGGCAGCAAGCACAGAGCTCCTGCAGATGCTGCAGGCACTGCCGGTGGCAGGGGAGGGAAGAGTGAAGAGGAGTGGGCTGGATGGATCTGCTGAAAACTAATCTTGAGAGAAAAACTTCCCCAGAAACGGGGCAGCAGATCGATTGATCTGCGAACTTGGAGGAGCGCGTGATCCACAACAAGCGTTAATTGCTGCCATGCTCACTCAATTACCACGGCAGCAAGTTAGTTACTTAATGAAAGTGATAAGGAGATTGTGTGAGAGCCAAGGAGAGCATGTGAGGAGAGAGCGTGGGTTCAAATACTCGCACCGTGAATATTCAAAACCGTGAATCGCGAGTCTGTGAATGGCAAGGGTTTCCTGTATATCTTCACACAAGCCATGCTCATGGAAGCCAAAGTTTATTCCTGAAATTGGTCATTTGCTTTGATCCTCTTATAAAAAGTACACCATAAAACAGGGGAGCTCAACCCTGCAGGGGAGCTCAACCTTTGGCCTGCAGAGCCATGTCATCTGGCCTGCGGGGATCCCCGTGGATTTGTAAATTTGGTGATAGGGGAGTGGTGGCAACTAAAACTGCCACCAAATTTCCAAACCTGCACAGCAGGATCAGGCCCCAGTCATGTGATCCCTATGGAACAAAAAAGATTGAGAACCGCTACTATAAAATATAAAATGTATGTTGCTTAGCTGGGTTAATTTTGCATTTGGAACTTTCTGCATTTTCTGACTTCGTGATTTTATCTACTACTGAAACGTCACACAAGTACATTAAATATAAGATCTAATAAAGAAGAAATCCATATCACTTCCAGACCAAGAAAACTCTTTCTTTTTATCTAAGTGGCCCTCTTATAGGATTACTCTGAGTTGTCCAATGTTTTAATTTAATTCTAATAGTAACATCATTACTATTACTAATTACTACTACTAAGGACTGGCTTCCAGAGCCCAGAGAGAAAAAATCAACACCACAACCTACTCTCAAAAGTCATGAATATTTTCTTCCCATCACATTTCAACAATACTTTTGTTTGGATTGAGTCAACTTCTGAAACAATACATTTTATTTACTTACCTATGAATCCACGAAGTTGTTTGCTATTCATTAAAAATGTCTATACACTTTTATTTTCTAAATCATACTTATTGTTGTGAAGTTTATATTTAGGGTACCATATTTCCAGTTCCAAAAAAGAGGATACCTGTCAAGGTGACACCTCACTCCCAAGCCATAGCCCTCCACCCCCTGGGCTAAGCTGCTGATCCTCACTCCCAACCTGCATCCCCCTAGCCCTGCCAATGCCCCTCACTCCTGACCCACAGCCCCTTGGCACTACCAGTGACACACAATCCCCACCCACAAGCCCCACACCCCTCCCATGCCTTCACTCCCAAGCCACAGCCCCCACAGCCCTGCTGGTGCCCCTCACTCCCAACCCACAGCTCCCTGCTCCCACCAGCCCTGCTGGAGGGGGCCCCAGCTGCCCCCATTCTGACTGAGCTGGAGCACAGAAACTCCAATTCATGTGGGTGGCAGCAGAGCAAGTCCAGCCCATTGAGGGCTGTAGGGAAGAGGAGGGGAGGCCTGTGACACCCCCCACCCTGGGCTTGGCCTCCCATGCTGCACCAGCCATCCTGGCCTTGGCCCCCTCTTCCCATAACTCCTGGGCAGCATCTCAAGGCCACCCCACCCCCTCAAGCAGGGCCACTGGCCCCTGTGCTGCCAGCCTTGCTATGGAGTTGCCCACTGCCCTCAAAGGGCCCCTCCTGACCCTTTCCCCCGCTGGAAGTGCAGGCACTTCCCCTGCCCTGCCCTGCCCTGCCCTGCCCTGTGACAGCCCCAGCCCTCCAAACCCCACCCCCCACAGACTTATCTACATTCAGCTGCCAAGGCATGTGCAGACTAACATGGTGCCCCTGCCTCCAGTTGCCCTCCCCCTACTCCCACCAGCAAAGCAAAACAAAATCCTGGACATTTGTTCAGATTTCAAAAAAACCACCGGAACAGAAATCGGAGGACTCAAAAAGAGGACATGTCTGGGAAAACCCAGGGTTATGGTAACCCTGTTTATATTAATATCTACTTCCACCAATTCACTCTAAGTAGATCTGAGGCATATTTTATATTCACTGATTGAGATCACTGTAGCTTACTAGTAGAACTAGTCCTAGAGAAAAGGAGTCAAATTCATCTCTGATGTGTCTTTACTAACTTAGGCTCATGTTCCGAACAAGAGAAGGGTAGAGATCATACTGTCATAGTATAAATCCTTAGTAAGCTTCACTAAGTGAAATACATGTTTCTTATACATTCCTAGGGTAATGAAGGGTCTCCTGGAAAGCCTGGACCACCAGGGCCTCCGGTAAGACATTTGTTTTTTATTTTAAATACTGTATTTTGAACAGTTTTTCTGGGGGGGTGTGATGGATATTCTATCAATACTTGAACTCTTTAAATCAAATTTATTGTCCCTCTCAAATTGGGATGTCAAACTCATCCAGCTCTCTGGGCCAGATGACGGTCACTGGGCCTGTCTGTGGACCAGATTGGAACTGATTCCTTCTGCCATATGCAGTGCCCATGGCACCAGGTCCAGCCCGTGCAACGTGCGCAGCAGGTGCCGGCCCCACTCCATGCACTTACAGCCCAAGGGTTCAGTCGTGGGGTGTAGACTGCTTGTGGTGTGCTACTGGACTGGCCATGTGTGCTGGCTTCAGGACTGGTCCAGATTGGGCCATACTGCAGCCAGCATGCAAGGCATGTCTCATGGGATGCCACATGCAGCCCCTACCCTGGATCCCCTGTGCTGCATCCAGCACAGAGCAAACCCTTGTGCTTCATGCAGAGTGAGCCCTGGGATGGTTCGTACCAGCAGGGCTGGACTGGCTGCTCACGCGCAGGGAGCCAGTACAGTGTGTGTGCTGCATGAAGCGCCCTGCTGGACTGGTCCTGCACACTGGCTCTGCTATAACCTGATCAAGACCAGCCCTATCTCCTGCTCCCCTCTTTCCATCCTTGTCTGAAGGAGCCCACAGCCTCACACAGCCCAAGCTTTGACCACCTCCCTTCACTCCTCCCCTGTCCCCCATCTTCCACATCTCTGGGAGCATGGCACAGCACCCAGGTGAACATTTCCCACCTCACCCCCAACATCCCTATCCTGCACACTCCCCCACCCTTCCAAAGCCTCCTGCCTGAGATGGAGATGACCACATGAGCCCCCAAGTCCAGTTGAGAGTGTTTAATCACACACTTGAAATCCTTCTTTGATTCACCATTTCGACCCTCAGCCCAGAGTCTGGCAATGTGGCCTGCCAGCTCGTCTCACACATACAGTGCCAGGGGACCAACCTCCATCTGAGAATTCACGAGCATGATCCAGGAGGCCCCTCCTTTTCAACCTTGCAGAGACTCAGACAGAGGCTTCCTCTTGGCCTGGCAGATGTTATGCAGAAATACCAGGGGCATGTTGTACTCACTGGCATCCAAGCATGTCCTCAGCACCTCCAGTGAGCTTTCAGACACTTGAAAGCAGGCACCAAAGCCATTCTACACCTGTTAAGCTGATAGTTAAACAACTCCTTCCAGGTGTCCAGGCACCAAGTGAAAAACTTCAGCCAGGGGTGCAGTGGGTGGATATGGCCCCTTTTTAGTAGTGGGGGTACAGTCACACCCTCAACCTGGCTGTTAGGCATACCAGGAGAAAACTCTCTCCACACTATCAGTTCAAGGAGGAGGGAGCTCCTAAATATCCTGGCGTTGTGTACTGTTCCCTGCAAGCTGGCAGTAAGCTGAGCAGTAAGCAGAGAGCTCAGGTGCTGGACTGCCTTAAAGAAACTTTTATCTGTGCTAGGGTGGCTGATTGGTGCTACAGTGTTTGCCTAGAGCCTGGTGTGTGTTTGGGGGTTTTTTCCCTTTTCTCCTGTGGTGTGTGTTTGTTTTTTTCCACCCTCCCCTTTGCACTCTCTTTTTTTTCTCTCTCTCTCTTTTCTGCTCTTTTCATTTCTTCCCCCTTCTGGAGTGACTGAATGACAAGACTTGCTCTGGGTGGAGCTGGTTTAGGTAATTCAGGGGTGGAGCTAAGGTAGACAGCCCTGAACAAATCAGGGGGAAGTGAACAGAGGGCAGCAAACAAAGAGGGAGTTGGCTTAGGGAAATCACTAAAGGAGGGAGCCAAGGAGAAGGAGACTCTGTGTGTGTGTGTGTGTGTGTGCGCACGTGCACATGCACACGTGTACATCTGCAAGGGCCCAGGTGTACCCTGCAAGGGTACATGCACACGTGTACCCTGCAAGGGCCCAGGGTATTTGGCATGCAGGTTCTTGTGGCGTGTCTTTTTTTCCCCCTTCCCCCTCTCTCTTTTTTTCTCTCCTTACAGCATAAGTGTTCTCCAGAGAGCAAAGGAGGAGGCACAAATGGAGGTTGGGTCAGCTGTTGTGACCTGGGTAGGATGTGCCATACTTGTGTAGGGGACAGAGGTACCATTTTGTCATCCAGATCTGGGGGCCTGGTAGGTGTGATGCCCATCTGCAGCCTGAATTCAGGACATCACAGAGTCTGCCAAAGATCATCCATCCTTCAGATCACTACCTCTTCCTGCTTGTCCATGTAGGCACCAGTCATATTGCCAGGAATGACACTGAGAAGATCAGAGGTGACTGTGAGGCTCTTGAGAGGAAGATTAAGGAGCTTGGAGCCCAAGTGGTATTCTCATCGATTCTTCGCATGGAAGGCAAAGGTCCAGAGAGAGACCATCATAGCCTAGAAGTGGAGAGGTGTCTGAGATAGTGTCGATTTGAAAGCTTTGGCTTCTTTGACAATCAACAGATGTTCTTGAGAAGAGGACTCCTATCAAGAGATGGGATCCATCTGATGAGAATGGGGAAATCATCTTTTGTGCATCGTCTGGCCACCCTAGCAAGGAGGGCTTTAAACTATGTGCCATCAGGAGTGGTGATCAAAACTCTCTAGAAACAGAGCACACATTCCAGAGGGGAAAGGACTCAAAAAAGCAACTCAGCTCTGGGAAAGGGCCAGAGAGCTACAGGACTGCAACAACTGGCATGAAAGAGAAGTGAGGAAGTCAAAATGCAAAATGCTTCTGATGTGTGTATACAAATGCAAGAAGTATGGGGAATAAACAAAATAAGCTGGAAGCTACAGCCTGTGAAAACAACAGATTTGATTGGCATCACAGTGACCTGGTGGGACAGCTCTTATAACTGGAATGTCAGCATTGAGGGTTACA